TGTACCATCAGCTATAGAGGAATACAAATCCCACTATCCCAGCAATATATTATAGAGCACCATGTGTGGGAAAGTGCAGGCTTACCTGAGCAGTCTTCCAGCAACTTGCTTCTGAGATCGGGCCTGACTATCAGCGGCTGTCATCCGCCCACAACTGCTCATCCTTACTTCTTCTCCCCGCGTGCCTTGCCGATCGTGGATGGGCAGGAAATGTGAGGCGGGGAGGAGGTGCGGTGCGTGGAGCGTGGATGCGAGCGGGTCTGGCAGCGGCGAGCGTGAGGTGGGGAGGAGGTGCGGCGCACAGCGTGTGGAGCTGTGAACAGGGCCAACTGATCGGAAGCCGATTAATCGATTATTGAAAAAGTTGACAACTTTTTCAATAATCGATTATAATCGATTATGTCGATTAGTTGTTGCAGCCCTACTCCTGTCTACATTGACCCTGACCATTTCCTACTCTTTCCAAATCTAAAAAAAGTTTTGGCTAACACAGAACTTTAAAGCTGAATTCCAAGAATTAAAAAAAAATACACCCTTGCAGGAGGACCCCCCTCCCCTCAGGGGTAAGATGTAATACTTATCTTATTCCTCGCTCTGGCACTCTTCTTCTCTCTGACTCTCCTGGTTGTGGATTGCTGGTCCTGCATTGTACATGATGAAGAGAAGCAGCTTCGGGGGACCGGTCACACAGCAATGTGGATGTGAGGGGTTAGGAAAGTATTAAAGCTTATTCCTCAACCCTTGGACTCAATGAGCTTTTAACCCTTGCAGTTAAATACCCCACTGCAAGGGGGCCCATATCAGGGTTCTAAAGGATAGAAATATAATAGCTGCCACTGCAGACGTTTATTTACGGTGCAACACTGTCATCATTACCTTTCTTCTCTACTTACTGTGAGACTGACCTGTAATAATGGCCATAACAGACCTCCCCATCATTGTATGGCTGCATGTTTGCTTCAGCTTGCTAACTATTGAAAGAAGAATGAAGATGACAGTCCCACGGATTCCAGCTTTCAAGTCACCAGTGACAATTTTCATATTGATATACTGACTGGGTTCCTTCACCATCTCTCCAGCAAAACTGCTTGACACAAGGAGGTTGACTTGCCCATTGGCTTCCTGTGTTTCACAGACACTCTGTTACTGAGTTCTTCATACTGGAGTTCCACTTCTGCCATATCTCTCATAAAGGGATCTTGTGGATAATTTAACCCAGCAACATCTATCCAGAACCAAACTATTATTGGGCGGAGTGACTCTTTAAACGTCCTGGTATCCTGGAAACCCAAGGACCCACAAGGCAGGGTCACTTCCTCCTCTGAAAGCTCAGCGTCCCTTTATGTTTAATAAACCCGGCTTTGTTTGTGTGCAATCATTGTCGTGTTTGTAAACAGAATCCTTCTACAATGCCACCGGTTGCTGCTTATGTATGTTGTTGTTTTGATTTCATTTCACAATGGGATGTGTAATCTTCGATTATTGTGTCTGCAGTAACTGTGCTGTAGAGAGAGCTAACCAGGAATGATTAATTGATATTAATAACGGGCATTACTTAGTAATAGATGTCTCACAATACACTGTAGCCATCCCAGAAGATACATTATATTTTAATATCCTCCATTATAGTCTTTGCTGCAGTTTTTGTTATCTTTTTATCTGCAGGTTCCTCTTTCTCCTTCACTAGATTCCAGCTCTGGAAAGAGATTATACTAAATCAAACACTACAACAGGTTAGAAACCCTCCGCAGGTTGTGATTAGTAACAGGAGAACATTGTTGTAATAAGTATTCACAAAGAGCCTGAAGACGGAGTAGTGTTGGTAAGAAGGGACTGCGGTGCTGATGCTTCCTTTTAGGAAAATCTTTTTATATAAATACCTTGCAAGTATGGGGAGCAATCCCATCAACCCACCTCTGCCAGGGAGGCATTACGCCCCAATCTGAATGTTATTTGGCAGCATATTTAGAAGTGTGCATACTGCATGTGCTGCCTATACTTTTGGATAGATGAACTCATAAGATGAATACACTGCTGCAGTTTTGAAAACAAAACACATGGACCTCAACCTAGAGGGGCATAGATAAAGTCTAACTCTAGCCAAGGTAATTCTGGTGGAAAGAGTGGGAAAGAATTGGTTTCTAGTCCTGACTTTGAACTTGTAGGGGAGATTTTGCCTTACTTCCTGTCCCTGTGATGTCCGTACAATGAAAGTGGGGGTTGTCAACATGACAGGAAAGCTCAGCAATAACAAAATTGTCAGAAATTCTAACCGTTCCCTACTCTGCTAAAAGAGTGTCTTGGGGAGATTTCCCCTCACTTCCCGTCCTGGGAGGGCAGGGCTAGCCTGGAATGTGACCTTCCATGTGACCTGGACCTTCTAGACCTCTGGGTAGTGTGATAGTTAGATGCTGAGCACTTTCCAGGTCCAGGGCCATGGCACAGCCCTCGTGTTACCCAGTTTTTAAAGACTTTAATGAATACATTGTGTGGACCGAGCATCAGATGCTACTACTTTTATTTGAACAGACGAGCAACTGTGTCACTAACTGCAGGGTCACGCGCAGGCATTCTGCACTCCATTCCCTTCTTTTCAGTGTAAGGTTTGTGAGTGCCCATGTTTTTTTTTTAGCTTGAATTCAGTTAAGTTGCCTCTGTATCATTTGCCAAATTTTACTGCAGATCCCCACAATACAACATTCTGTCATCATGGGACAAATTGGTTCTGTCTCTGGTACCAAAGACTCTGGCCTGGTGGCTCAGGAATCCACTTTGGGAGCTTAGTTAATCCTGCCTCCCACTGCCTTGGAAGATCTTTACAACAGGTGCTAGTCTAAAGGGCTGGGAGGGAGTCCTGGACACCTTGTCAGTGCAGGGGGCTTGGTTGACAGAGGAATCTCAGCTTCCAATCAACATTCTGGAGATGCAAGCAATTTGCTTTTCCCTGCCATGCTGTACACTCCAACTGGAGGGTCAGCCACTCAGGACCCAGCCAGACAACGACACTGCATTGGAGCACATCAACCACCAGAGGAGAGGAAACAGAAGTCTTACAATGGCAAGAGTGGTAGAAGAGACTCTAGCCTGGGCAGAACTCTATGTTCCAGCCTTGCCCACCGTTGACATTTCAGGTGTGGAGAATGGGCAGACAGACTAGCTCAGCCAAGAGAACCTGGATCCAGGTGAATGGTCCCGACACCCAGAAGTGTTTCAGTACCTGTGTCACAGGTGGTGATGGAATGGTTCGAGGACAAACTGGATAGGTTTGCCTTCAGATGCAGAGATCCTCTGGCAGAAACAATGGATGCCCTGGTGGTTCAGTGCGGTCAGTTCAGCCTAGTCTATGCCCTTCCTTTTCTGAAACACCTTCCTTGTCAACTCTGCAGGATTGGGATGGAGGGTATTCCAGTAATCCTCAGCTCTGGACTGGCCCAGACGGATGTGGTACTCCAGCTTGATCAAACTTCTGACAGACACCCCATGGGCTCTTCCAGATCAACCCGATCTCCTATCTGAAGGACCAGTTTACCACCCTGCTTCACAGTCGCTGGCTTTAACGGCATGGCTGTTGAAACACAAGTCTTGAGAGACTGATTCAGTAATTCCCATGTTGTTAAAAAGGACGAAGTCTGCCTCTCAGAAGGGCTACCACCGCACATGGAAGGCTTTGTTTGTTTTGTGTGAGGAAAGGAGATTTTAACCCAGGAAATACACAATTGGAAGAATTCAGACCTTTCGGCAATCAAGTCTGTATCAGCATTTTGGCATTGAGTACCATCAAGAGACAAATCTTGGCCCTTGCAATCTTTTTCCAAAGACTGATAGTTCCCCATTTATTGGTCAATACTTTTCTACAGGGTGTCTTTCATGTGGCCCTTTCTGTACAACCATCCGTGACTCCTTGGGATCTGAATTTGGTTCTGTTAACACTTTAGAGACTGCCTTTAAACCCATCAGAGATATTCTTCTTCCCACACTCACTCAGAAGGTTGCATTCCTTGTTTCCATCACTCCTTCCTTCGTAAGGTAGTTTTGGCCTTTCACCTTTTCCATCTCTCTTCCCAGCTCTTTCAATTTCAGGAATTTTTCTCTTACTACCTGGATGTAGTTTGTGGTGCGTGGGTTTGCCTCTCAGACCTCCTTCCGTTACAAAGACTGATCCTCTTTTTGTCATTCCTGCTGGTCTCTGTAAAGGAAAAGCAACTTCTCCCTCCACCAATTTTTGGTGGCTCGGATAGATCATTGCTCAAGCTTAAGGTCTTCAAGGATAAGGTTCCACCTTTTCCTGTCAAGGAGCAATCTACTAGGTCTGTGAGTGCTTCATTGTCCTTTTGGTCATCAGGCAACT